GGGACAGCCCGCACGCCGGCTCGCCCGTACCGGGGGGAAGCGGAGGGCACGGCAGACCCCGGGAGCCGCCCGCCCGCTCCGCCCGCCCAGGCCCGGGCATTGCTTACCCCGCCGGCCCGGGGGCGGCTCGGGCCCTTCCTCTCGGCGCTCTCGGGGCTTGCCTTCTCCACGCCGCCCGTCCTGGTCTTGGGCATGTTCCTCCCTAGGAGCAACGGGGGAAGATCGGCGCCTGAGCCATGTCCGGCGCTGCCGCCCGCGGTCATCGCCCGGCCGCCGCGGCCTGCGCCATGTTTAAAGGGCTGGATGCGGCAGGGCGAGCCGCGGCGGCCCAGCCCCTTCCCGGCGAGCTGCGCACACCGCGCGGGGGAGGAGTCCCGCCGGCCCCGGCTCCCCGCACCTCCCAGGAGGAGCTTCCGCGCCGCGGAGAGCCCCGCACCGAGCGGGCCCAGCCCCGCCGGCCCCGCCGCGCCCCTGCCCCGCTCCGCTCGTGCCCGCTCCGCCCCGCGCACCTCCGGCCATGGCGGCGGCAGCGGCCGCCCCGCGCCCCGGAGCCCCCGCGCCGGGCGGCTCCGACTGTCCCCGCGGAGTCCCCGGCGCCGCCAACCGCTCCGCAGGGAGACGCCGCGTTACCCTTGGCAACCCCATTGGTTTAACCTCCTGCCAATCAGCGCGCTCAGGCCTCTGATTGGCGCGAGCCGCCATTACCCGCCCTCCCCCTGTCACACCGCGGTGACCGCGGCTCCCGGGAACAGGGTTTAAATGTGCGTTCGCTGGGCGCTGATTGGTCCGTGCCGAGCGCAGGCGCGCTCTGATTGGCGGCCCGGCAGGGAACGCCCCTCCCCCGACCGGGCCGCGGCACGTGGGTGGGAGCGCGCGGCGGAGGCAGCGGGACCCTCCGGCCGTGCGGGCCCGCGGAGCGGCGGCGGTACCGGGCCTGCCCGCTGGGCCCGTGCACCGGCACCTCCCAGCGCCGCCTCCCTCCTGCACCCTCCGCAGGGCACACGGCCCCCGCCACCTCGCAGCGGGGATTTGGGGGACCCCTAATCCTGGCGGGATTGTAAAATTCTGCTGTGTGCAATTATTAGGCTGATTTACGCGATGTTTAGCTTAGATCTCCTTGGCTGAAGTTTAAGTCTATTAGTTCCATCTTCCAAGCTTGCCTGGAGAGCAGGTAATGCTCCAGCATTGCACTAAAGCATCAAAGACCTTATGTAAATCCCCATTCCATAATAAGGGCAGCTAAAATATTACAAAACCAGATGACAGAGCCATCATTATCACCAGGAGAGCTGGAACTGCCTTCAGCATCGATTCCCTGGTCAGAAGCTGCCAACAGGATTAGTACATAGGCTTTGAAATCGGGAAAGCACAATGGCAAAGAGTTACACAGCAATGGCTCAAAGCACGCATGGATCGGGGATGTGGATGGATGCCACGTGGGTGCCATGGTGGAAGTCAGGAATTGCCACACAGGACTTTGGTGCTCCATGATAAGCAGAACCCTTACACTGAGCAATGACTCCTGATTGCTGTCTGTGCTACCCCTCCTGCAGCGAGGCCACCTGAGCGTGCTCAGGACCTGGGGGTGGCACTTGCTCTGGCCCGAGCCCTATCACCACTGCGGTGGCTTCCCTTCCCACCCAGGCTTATCTGCAGCCTCAGGCTGCTCCTTGTCTCTGGGCATTCCCACAGTGCATAAACAGCCAGTAACAGGAAAAAACCCTTCTCATCTTAAGCAAGAACTCAGGCCTTGCCCTTTCCAAGCTGTCCCACAGCAGCTGGGGGCTCACAGGGCAGGAATTCAGTGAGACTGCAGAGTCTCAGGAGGCAGCACAGCATTCCAGGCCACCCCCTCCCCTTCCTGTGACAGCTCTGCACTCAGGCACTTTGGGAGAAGACAGAACAAACCCAGCTCTGACATTTGTTAAATCTGGGTCTTCCATCACCAGGCACATGCATTTTACAGAGAAGCAACCAAAACACCGTGGGTATTTCCCTGTAAACTCAAAGCTGCAGCCAGCTGACATCCTGTCCATGAACATCCATGTCCATGGTGTTCTTCCATCAAGGCAGGTACTCCAAGCTCTCTGCAAAAGCACCAGAGCAGACACTGCTCTGATTTTTCCACCCCAGTTTGCACTGTACTTATCACCCAGCTGGGAAAAAAAGATCTTCATAAATTACTAAGATGATTTCCTTCATGCAGTAATAGGAAGCACTCTTCCTAATGTCTTGGGAAAGCTCTGGTAACGCCGGAGTGGTTTTGCTCAGCTGTTGGGGGTTGTATATTTTAGATAATTATTTTATATATATATATATTAAGTAAGGGAACTGAGTTGGCACCGAAGCCGTGCGGGCCACCAGTAGAGGGCAAAGGAAGCCAAGGAATTCTCTTCCCCAGAGCAACAAAGAAAACAGCGTCATCTCTGAGTGGCCGCTGCTCCCGGCGCGGTGGGATCACACCGTGAATTAGCAAAACACGCTGGCTTCACCCCTCAGCTGGCTGCCAGGGATGAGGAGAAGTTAAAACGCTCAAGGCTCGGGCCCAAAGGAGCGCGGCTGGGACTCGGGACACGCAGCAGCCCCAGCAGCAGCAGCAGCACACGCAGAGAGCGCTGCCGGCTCCCGGATCCGCTGGAAGCAGCGCTGGAACCCAGTGACCCAAATATCGCCTCCCGTGGTGTCGCATGAGCGGCCCCCGCGAGCACCACGTCTGACTGCGGAAATGTGAAATTGTTTTGTGGGGGAAGGGAGGGAAGGGCGAGCGAGGCGTTGATTCGCTCAGAAAGGGAAGAAAACCTTCAAGGTAAATCTCTCCGGTCCAGATGAACACTTCATCCAGTTTAAAAAAAAAAAATCTTATATTCGAATTCATGGTTTCATTTTCTGTCCAATATACCAAGGGGATGCTTGTGAAACGTTCCCACCGGAGAGCAAGTTCTCACACAGCACCTGTCATATTTGCAATTTGCAAAATAAATGACAGCATTTACACAAATTTCTCGTTCACAAGATGAAATCCCTACAATTTGTGCTTCAGCCACTAGAAATCAAGTGAAAACAATCCCTGAGGGTAACTGCTGAGTATTACATTAAGCAACATCATTTTATAAAGTCACAGAGTAAAATGCCAGTAGGTGCTACCTGCATTTCATAGATTATAAAATATAATTATATTCAGAATTGTATCTACCAATGATATAAAAAAAAAAATCTCTGACTAGAAAGTGCAATGAGCTCTGTGAATTACATGCCAAAATTCTATGGAAACGGAGTCCTGCAGACAAATGTGCCTGTGCTAATTCCACGCCAATGGAAAGCAGCATTTCCACCAGTGAGATTACTCACCTATTGCAGTCGAGGATGATCAAAACGCTGACAGGTAACTCCCTTTTCAACTCAAGACATCAAAACCCTGCCTTTCTTGTCACGATTGTAAAGTTCGATTCAGCACGTGTGAGCTGTACTTCATCATGCCTTCATCTGAAGTGTGCAGAGAGCAATAACCAAGATAAAAGCTGCCACTTAAATTGTTCTTCTGGTCCCTGGCCTCACTTCTGTCATCTTTCTCTCCATCTGAAGCATCACTGATTAATCTGAATTACTTAAGTCAGTTTAATTAACGTTGCTTTGTCTTTAAATAGTTTAGCCTTAATCTGTCTAATCCTTTATTGGTTATATTAATCCCTGTTAAATTTGTCTAATCATAAAAAAAGCAAACTTGCACAAGATTGAATGAGTAATACTGAACATTTGAAGGTATTTCATGATTGCTCCCATTTCATTTATGTCTGGCTCAATTCTGTGTGAAAGTTCTTACAAATGTTCATGTTTTTACACAACTGGGAAAGTATTTTATTGGAAGATTGTCTCTTTTAACAAGTCTTCTCAGTGTAGGGGCCTCCAGCTTTAAAAAACAATGTCTCCAAATGTGAAACCAGCATGAGGGGTCTCCAGATTTTAACTCACTCTTTGCAGCAGCAAGTTTCACATTAGCAGCTCGTATAAAATTCGCAAGGGAAAACTCATCTGGCAGCACCCCAGGGAGGGCAGCAGTGCTATCCCCCCGCATTCTCCTGGGGGGTTCCTGTGCAGGAGCTCTGCAGAGCCGCGGTGCCGTGAGGGGCGGAGGTGGCGGAGTCCTCAAGGCGGGATGGCACCGGCTGCACCGGGGAGCCGCCAACCGCGGAGGGACGGGACGGGACCAGGGGCCACCTGGAGTGAGACGCGTTAAGCAGCGGGAGCACGGGCGGGGATGAGCTCAGATTCCAGCATTTCCCCTCACCGCAGCGCCCGGGGCCCGGCCCGGTCCCGCCGCTCCGGGGCCGCTCCCGCCAACGCCGCCTCAGGCGGGGGCGCGCGCACGGCGCCTCCCCCCCCCCCCCGCCCCGTGATGCAGCGAGAAACACGAGATCTCGCGAGAGCTCCGCCGAGCTGCCGAGTTCTCGCCGGCAGCCGCCATCTTGCGGGAGCCTGGGTCACGTGACCGCTAGCAGCCGCTCGCCTCCGCCTTCCCCTCCCCCCACCCTACCGGGAACCGGGCCCGGATCGCCAAGGCTCGACTGCGGCCGCCGCCATGGGGCGGTGCCCAACCGCGGGGACGTCGCTTATTTGAAGGACGGTCGATACGCCGGGGATTTTTTTTGGGAGGGGGAGGGAACGAGGAACTTTCTGCCTTCCCCTTGCTGAAGGCAGGGAAAAACCGAGGCGCGGCATGTCACGTGACGGGGGGGCGAGCGAGGAGCGCGCGCCGGGGCCCGGTGGCGGCGGTGGGACGCGGGGGGGGGGGGGTGGGCGCGAGACGGCGGCGGCGGCCACGTGACCGGGGAGCCCGCGGGCGGGGGGCGGGTCACGTGGTGCTGAGCGCGCGCCAGCGGCGGGCGGTGGCTGGCGGGGTCACGTGGGCGGGGAGCGCGCGCGGCGCGGCGGGGGGAGGGAGGCGCGGCCCGGGTCACGTGGTGCGGGCGGCCCCCGGCCCCCCCTCCCCTGTGAGGGGAGGGAGGGCAAAGATGGCGGCCGTGAGTTAGAAAGCGGCGGGCGGCGGGGCCGGCGGCGGAGACTTCCAGGAGCCCGCGGGAGGATCCAGTGCGATAGAGAGTAAGTGCCGCGCTGCTCTTTTGCCTGGCGTCGCGCCTGTTTGGCCGCCTCTGGCCGCTCCCCGCGTTGTGGGGCCGCCCCGGGGGTTTCTTCCCCTCAGCTCCTCACCGGGGCCCGCGGCGGCGGCGCGGGGGTGTCCGGGGAGGACCCGTTGTGCTGGGAGCGGCTCCGCGTCTCCCTCGGTGCCTCAGCCCGGAAGGCTGCGCGGCCGCCCCCGCAGGGGTCCCGGTGGGCCGGGGGCGGCGCGGCGGGCGGGGTAGGCGCCGCCGCCGCCCCGGCGGAGCCCCGCTTGTCCCGCGAACTTCGTGCCCGGGGGCGCGCGGGGGCGGGCGGCGGGGCCCCCCGGGTCTGGGGGAGCGCTTCCCTAACGGGGGCGGGCGCGGCGCTGGGTTCGGCCGCCCCCCCCCGCCGCATCCCTGCGCGGGCAGAGCCCCCCGGGCCGGCCCGCGCCTTTGTGCGCTCTTTCCGCGGCCGCTGATTGTTGAGGTTCGAAATGGAGAAACGAGGCGGGGGGGATGGGGGTGTTTGATTTATGGTGCCGGAGCGGCTCCCGAAGCCGCCGTGAGACGGAGCCCTCCCGCCCTTGCCCGGGATCGCGGTGCTGTTGGAGGGATCTTTAAAGAGGTGAAGGTCTGGAAACAAAAAGTCGCGCATGGGACGGGATTACGCAGCCGATTCTGGCCCAACCCGGAAGTTTATGTCGGGAACACGTGTTGGTGCGAGGGTGGCGGGGCCGAGCCGCCGACCCCCGGCCCTGCCGCCGCCTCCCCCGGGGCTTCCCCGCCCCGCCGAGCCCTCGGGGCCCCGCTGCTCCCGGGGAGCCGAACCGCGGCGGCGGACACGGCCTCAAAGTCCAGGCTCTCGTAACGAGCGCACCTCAAACAGAGGTTGCTAGGGTGAGTAATAGTTTAACGTAGAAATGCTCCTACAGTCTGATGGGGAAGAGGCCTTTTGGGGTTTTTCTCTTGGATTTTTTAGGGTTGTTTCTTTATTATTTTTAGCTGACCAGGTTCCACGCTGCATTTGAGGGTATAAATCAGAACTCCTGCACTTTCTTTCAGGTACTCTTAGGCTGGTTCTATGTGTTTGATATCTGTTAAACATGAAGCAGATTTTGTAAGTCCTTAAAAATAAAACCCTTGAATTGATCTGTTAGGTAACTCCAGAGTGAGTAAAAAAAAAATTCAGTGTGATCAAACGGCACAGTGTGAAGTTAGGAATTAACTCGGTGGTAGACTGTTTGGCTTTAGACTACCAAGGTTCTGTCTGGATTAAAATTATTTTAAAACATACATTAATGTTTTGTTAGCTGCCCTCCCCCCCAAAATGAAAATCTGTAGTTGATGTTGTAAAGCAAGAATTGAAATTGTGTAACAGCGTGACATTTGAATTGGTATTCTGTATCTCCCTCACAGCCATGAGAGGTTATATTTGTATGCAATCTTAATATTTAGAAATAAAATGTGGGCAGTTTGTCTTTTTGTCCAGACTACTCTGGTTTCAAAACTGGCTGAGAGTTACTCTAAAAGCTGTTGAAGCAGGTCAGGGATGTGGGAAATGGGGCTTTGAGACACACCTGGAGCTGCCTCCCAGGCTAAAACTGAGCATCCTGGTGCTCACATGCTGCTCTTTTTCTTTGAGATTTTACTTGTTAAAAACTTTCACTGCTGGCCCAATTACCAGCTCCAGCCCTTTAGTCTGACAGCAGATTTCATGCCAAAGTATTGCATTGTTAAGTCTTTTAACATTTTCAGAAGTTCTGAATTTCACATTTGCAGACTGTGTAACTTGGCAGTTGTAAATTTTGTAAGCCAGTCATTGAAAAGCATTGAGGCAGAGTTGAACCCATGGTGCCCTGAAGTGTCCCTCGTGTCCTTGAAAGCTTTGAGGTTTGAGTGGTGACCAGCCTTCGAAAAGTGGGAATGATTTTTCCAGGATTGGATTAACTCCTGGTTTTTGTGAGAACACCTTTGTACGTGTGAATGCAAAATTAACTGCTCCTCTTGAGGTTAAGGCATGGAAGGATGAGTGAGTTCATTAATTAGGGTTTTGCTCTTTGATTGGATGGTGACTTGGAGAGGACCAGAAGGGGTTGGGTTGGTTGAATTGTTGTTTTTTTGCTGTTACCAGGTTCCTTCTGGAGACAAAAGCTGTGAAATGAGCAGAGCCCACGTGGCTATCCAGAGAATCCTGTTGGGTGGGATGGAGCTCTGAACCTCTGCTCTGAGAGGCTGCAAAGGGAGATGAGAAATTTTCAGGTCAATAATAACTCCTGGTTTAGTCAGGCAGAGAATTTGCAGGGCAAAGCTGTCTTGTCTGTACAACTCCAGCATTTGTGTGATGTTATAGAGGGTTTCCAGTGCAGCTGAGGTGTTCCCCAGAAGGGCAGTGGGGAAAGCTCTGCAGTGCCAGAGCAGAGTTGTGGGTGCTGTTTGTGCCCCAGGCAGGCGCTCACAGCCAGGGCTGCCCCAGGTGTGGAGGGGCTTGGGAGCAGCAGCGCCTGCTTGATTGTGCTGTTTGGTTTGGAGCAACTTCTGATACTGTAATTGATTATGGGTTCTAAATAAGCACTTCAGGCGTGCAGTGTTACTGTGTGTAACTCACAGACCTGAAAATCAAAAGGCTTTTCATTGTTTGGGATTCTACCATTATGTTTCTCAGGGGAAACAGAGCAGGTTGCTTGACATGTGCTTTAGAATCTTTTTTTGTTTTGTTTCTTTGTACCAAAGCTAAAATGGAAGGAGAGAGAGAGAGCCAGGTTGGCATGGATACATGACATGATATTAAACATGGCATTCTGGTTTTGTATCTTTAAATCAGGAATTATTTACATAATGTGCAGTGATCACAAAACTGTCTCTTTATCAAAGTTTTAAGCTGTGTTCTTCATCAGGAGAGCACCTTACAGAAATGTTTGGTGTGTTTTGGTGGCCCTTCTTGAAATACCATTTTGTTTTTTCTTCATACAAAGAAAGTAATTAAGATATTACTACTACTAAGGTTGAAATTTTATGAATACATTTTTTAGTTTCATTTAATAGGCTGATTCTTGCTCAGTGACATTGGACTACCTCACTAAACATAGACAATCTTATCTGCAAGGTTCTACATGCTCAAAACAGTTCTTTGAGTGATGAAATCCTCAGGGAACAGCTTGTAATATTCACAACTTTTTAATAAGTATTTTCTTTCGGAGATTTTGAAGATGTGGCAAACAGGTCCTTATATAGTATTGCCAAGGCTGAGCTGCAGAGCTTGATAAAGTCACTTTCACTTGTGTGAGCTGAGGAGCCTCCTACCTTGCAAGATTATGGAGCTGCTTCAGCCTGATAATGTTTTAAGCTTAACCAGCATGTGCTACAGAAAATAAAATGTTACCACAATGCAGCTTCTCCTGTATATTTTTTCTTCCTCATTTAATTTCCTTGTTAAATTACAATGAGGAGGATGGGCAGCATTGGTGCTTGGAAGTTGCACAAAGGCTAAAATTGGTGCTAAGTATTCAGTGACTTCTAATGTAAAAAATCTAGAAGTTCAGAATTCCCTTTGTTCCAAACAATGCAGCTTTGTTCCTACTGTACAGAAACAAAATAAGTGAAACTAGTCAAACTTTCATTGTCCAAACTGACAGACAAACAATTGCTGTTGTTTTACTGAGCTTTTTGCTGGGTTGTGAGCAGCCATGAATTTTTAAGACTTAAAATTTGGGATGTCAGGAGAGGGGTACAGCTGGGGGACTTCTTACATGAAAACAGCTTTGCTAGAAAGAGAGTTTCTAAGCAGGAGATATTTACTCTGAAATTGTAGGAATTGATTTGCTAGTTTCTATCACCAGTCATTACTGAAAACTTTGAAATAAGCAACTAAAGCATTCCTGCTATGAGTTGTTTTTTTTTCTGAACTCTGAAACTTTTAAGGTCTCAGCCATCATGTTTTTAAAGGTTAAACGTGTTGGGGTCAGTGGCATCGTGGAAATGTTAAACTGGACATGAAACAGATGGGATGGGCTGTGACACCCTTGCAGGGTGGCTGGGGAAGATGTGTTTTTTGTGGTGTTGGTGTGGGTTTTTCTTCTAGCTTTGGTTTTGCTTTGAGTCTCAACTTCATAGAAAGGCCTTTCATTCCTGTATTGTGAGAGGAGACTCAGAGTTCTTGAGTCTTTTCATTTTTTCTTACTTCTCTTAAGTGAAAAGCCCCAAACTTTTGCTGCTTCTGCCTTTTTGTGCCTCTATTTAGTCCAGTCCCTTAACCCTCAACCAAGTTTTAGTCATATCTTCATTTGGCAGTGGGGTGATCACAGCTCCATACAGACTAAGGAATGACTTAACTGATGGTTTTTGAATTGTACATTTAGACATTTTACTTTATTTGTCCTTTGAGCAAAGATTTTTCCCCTTGTGGAAGGGTGCTCATGCCTCTTTCCCAAATGGAAGTTATGATTTTTAAGTGTTTTGGAGCTGTTTTGATGGGGTGACCTGTGTGAATTCCCCTTCTGTAGAGAAATTTGTCTTCAGTAGCTGCTCTCAAGTTCTAAACACCAAAAGTACTGATAAGCAAAAATTTCATCTGCAGACTTAAACCTTCCTCCCCTCACCTGTTTCTGGTTAGCAAACAAAGCTGCAGGCTTCTAAACTTGGATGTGATGGTCACTGTAAAGATTTTAGTCTGCTGAAAATGAAGGATTTATCCTGCCTGATTAATGTGCATATGTAGTCCCCTTTTTTGAGAGAGGCAGCACAATCTTTGTGGAATGAAAGGTGAAACTGAAAGTCAGGTCTTCCCACTTTTGTTCACCCATTCAGGATTCTGGGAGACAGGCAGGTGGGTGGTGACATCCTTTAGTGCTGCTGCCATATCAATCAAGTGTGCTAGATCATTTAATACTTAATATTTTCTGTACCTCATAGCAACAAACAAGGCCATTCTGCAAATTTATTTACTCACCTCAAGTACCTTTAAGAAAGAAGTAAGGTTCTGAGAAGCAAATGGTGTTTGGTGGGGCTGTGTGTAGTCAGTAGCAGTCCCACCAAATGTTTGTTGCTTTGATATTGTTGGGAGCATCTTTAAATCTTTGCTACATTAAAATGCATCTTCCCCTTGTCCCAGTATCTTGCACTTGTGGTGCCACCATCTCATGAATTGTGAGTATGAATCCACAACCAAAAGGTTTCTCCCTGCTATTGCACAGACTAAAGCTGGGGAGAGTAAGAACTGAGTGCCTGAGGCTCAGCTTATTACAAGAATTACCTGTTCTGCTAAAAGTGCTGAGGAAGATGTGTGAGCAGCCAGCTGGATGTGGCTCAGCTGTGCATGTACAAGGGACAAGCAAGGGAATGCTGTTCTGGAGTCTTGTGAATGAACATCTAAAATGCCAACAAATAATTTTGTCCTCTTACCTATTTAGAGTAGGTGTTTGGCTTCATTGGGTTCCAATGTTTTATTCCTAGTGGATGTTAAGGGGTGTGGAGGGTGAATGAAATTAAGATCTGCTTGAGGTGTATTTTAGACTGTATAAGCAACAGCTCAAGTTCTGTGAGATAATTTAATTTTTTTCTTAATACTGAGGCAGATGGGTTTCCTTCTTAAGCGAGTGAAATGTGTTATCTCCTCTCTTCATCTTTAAATATGGAGTATTTGGCTTTTTAATAAGTTTTTGTGCTGTCTAGAATAGCTTTTAGAAATTAGTTTTGCTTGTCCTACACATAAAGGAGTCTGTAACCTGCTGTTAGTGTCCTATCTAATAAGCAGTTACATACCATAATAGTGGCACATTTGTTCTCTCCACTAAGCAAAACAAAATTTCTCCAGTGAATGAATGTAACCTAATGTAAGGGCAAGCAAGAAATTAAAGCTTTCCTTATAAGCTCTTTATCACTAACTTGTTATGTTACAAGATAAAGTAAATGAGTTTTAATTGTGCTTCCCTCGTGCAGTTGCTTCACTGACAAAGATGGATCATTAGCATAACATGGGCTCACCATTTCTGCTCTTGGTATTTCTTGCAATCCTTGAAAATGTAGTGCCTCAAAGACTAGAAAAGGTCTCTTAAGTTTATGGCTGTGATAGCGTTTTGTGTAGTAAACTTTAATTCTCCCTGCTTTTAAGTGTGGTGAGTATGTTCAAAAGCCTGCAAATAAACTAAAGAACCAGAGCACATCTAGAAAGTGACTGTGTGTACAAGAGACTGCACTGTGAATGCCATTAAATGCAGGAAATGGAGTTGTGTGTGGGCAAAAAATAAATCAGAGTTAAATGTACTTGTACTTACAGTTTCATTTCTTTTTTTTTTTTTTCAGAGATGGTGGAGCCAGGACAAGATCTGTTGCTTGCTGCTTTGAGTGAGAGTGGAATCAGTCCAAATGATCTCTTTGATATTGACTCTCCAGACGTGGTTCTTGCAAATCCAGCACCAACTCCAGCTGTTCAGCAGGTTAAAACAAGAACAGGGATTTGTTAGAGCTTGGGTTTGCTGTGATGAAGGGGTTAAAGGGGATGGTGTGCATGGCAAGTGGTTAGAGCATGTGGAGTTTTCTGAAGTTTCTTGCTTCATAGTACTGAGATTGGAAAATGGCTTGTGAATTAATTTTAAACTTGCATACAAAAAAAGCAATGTCAAACACTTGAGGTCAGTACAGACAGAAATGTGCTTAATTCTGGGCATGACATGGGGACACAATGCCAGGTATCCATGGAGAGCTCTCATGTCATTGGGGTCTAGCTGCTCTGCAATAAAATGCATAAAAAGTGTAATGAAATACCGTGTTTAAGCTCCATGATGGCCTTCACTCTGCCAGAGTGTAGCCACTTGAGGCACAGCCTGGAACAAAAGCCTGAAGGTTTTATTCCTGCTGCCTTGTTTGCTTCCTTCCCCGTGCAGTCGGTGCCGCTCAGCGCCTTGGAGCTGGGGCTGGACGCTGAGGCTGCAGCTGCTGTCAAACAAGAACCAGAGACTGTCTCCACTCCAGCCCTGTTAAATGTTCGGGTAAGAGCTGAGCTGCTGCTCCAGGGTTTGGGGTTTGGCTGGGGAGGGGGCTCAGCTTGGGCTGGGCACCAGGTGCCCACAAAGCTGGTCCACCTCCTCCACCTCAGCTGCACATAGGCTGAAAAACCATGGTGAAAGGCTCATGGGTTGAGATAAGGACAGGGAGATCAGCAATTTGTCATGGGCAAACCAGACTCAACTCAAGGAAATTAATTCATTGCCAGTTAACAATGGAGGAGGAAAATGAGAAGAACAAATCTAAAAATACCTTCTCCCCACTCCTTCCTTTGTCCTGGGCTCAACTTCACTCCTGGCATCCATGGTCCTCCAAGGGCTGCAGGGGAGTCCCTGCTCCACACCTGGGGTGCCTCCTCCCCTTCCTTCACTGACCTTGGTGTCTGCAGGGTTTTCTCACATATTCTCACTCCTCCATCCCAGCTGCTGATGGTGTAACAGTTTTTGCTGGTTGTTAAACAAATGCCTTCTCACAGGCACTGCCAGCGACACTGAGTGGCCAAGCCTTGGCCAGCAGTGGGTTGGACTGGCTTTATCAGATATGGAGGAAACTGTAGTGGTCATGGGTGATGAATTTCTTTTTCCTTTACCTTAAAATCTAAAAAATAAAAAACCTTTTTGCTCAGACTGTTGCAGCACAAGATATTACTCTGGCACCTTCAGCATGTTATTTGAAGACAGACAAGTGTCTTCTGAAAACTGGTATATCCTGTGTGCTCAACGAAGTGTAATAAAGTTTACTCTTTCTTTTTGACTGTTTCCTGAAAATTTCCTGCTTCTTTGTTGCCAGCAACCACCATCCACCACAACCTTTGTGCTGAATCAAATAAATCAGCTTCCAACTCTGGGGACGACCATAGTGGTGACAAAAACGACGCCGGTGACGACCTCGCGGCAGACGATCACTGTAGCAAAGATCATCCAGACCAGCACAACCACCCGGCCCTCGGTGGCAGCACCAGCAGTTCGCAATGCCTTGACCACTGCACCTTCCAAGGACCAGATTCAGCTGAAAGATCTGCTCAAGAACAACAGTCTTAATGAACTCATGAAATTGAAGCCACCTCCTAATATTGCCCAACCTGTAGCGACAGCAGCCAGTGAGTTTGCTTTCTTTGTGATTACAGTATTTATTTAAATAGTGAAATAACAGATCTTTGAACGTCGTGGATTTTCATTGATTAGCACAATATCCTGGTAAATTGAAGTGGTTCAGGAAGCCTAATAAAATTCATTCTAACTGTAGTAGTGTTAGAATTCAGGGCAGAGAAGTATGAAATAACAGAGTTTAAATTTTTAACTCTTAATTTGTGGCATGGGACAAGGAAAATGACAGATTGCAGCTGTAAAATTGGTACAAGTATTTTGTGAACATTACTGAAGTCTGTTAGCTATGTTACTGGAGTCTCTACCAGTTCCTGTTCTAGCATGTGCTTAGAAATACAACAAACTAATACTCTTTTCTACTTAGCATCTTCCAAACTACATTTGTAGCACATAAGGCGTTTGTGTGGATTGTCTCCTGCAAAAGGAAAATCTGTCCCTTTGTTTCATTGGAGGCATCAAATCTATTGTTTAAGAAATTAAGTCCTAAAAACTTGCTGTTTATTTTCATGTTACTTCTGAAGTGCTGCAGTAAGTTAAATGCCACAAGTCCTTTGTTACCACACTCCAAATCCTCATGTTGTGATTTCTTCCATAATATTTCCTTGTATGTTATTTCTAACATGTGGTCGACTTGTGTATGGAAAAAGCTGCATGTGTGTGTAACTAACTCTTTCAAGTTGTTCTGATTTTAGCATGTTAAGATCAGACTAGTTCAGTTAGAAAATATCTTCAGTGCTGCTTTTTTTTTTCTGAAAGATACACAGGCATTTTGTGGATTTCTGTTATTTTCATTGTCTCTGAAACAAGCTTTGCTGATTTTATAGGTGTGGTTGGCATAACCTATTTTTCTGTGTGCAGAGAGAGTGCAGTGCAGGAGCTGTCAGTTAGAACTGAAACAAAAAGCAGAATGTCCCTCCTTGTGTCATTGCTTTCTCTTAGGGAGTGGCTGCCAAAACCCAAGTTGGGACATGAACTGAAGTTGGGGCAGGGAGTAAAGGAACAGGAGGGGAGAAAGCAGAAGGGGATAAGTCAAGTTTTATTAAACAAAGTGAAAATTCAGAGAAGCCCAGAATAGGTGACACCAGCACGCAGTAACTGTTAGAGTGGCACAGCTGCAGAAAACAGTGCAATCTGTAGCTTCTGTGTACAGCGAAAAGGAAACCTGCAACTTCTAGAACTGCATTCCTAATCTTATTTGTGTTCCTGTGTCTCTGGATCTTTCCTTGTGTTAATTTTAAAAAAATGGCAAATACTTGTGGAAAAGAGAAGCTCTTGAAAGGAAAATGGTCTTTTCATGTAATTCAGGCAGCAGGAGTTCTAGATGGGAAAATATTAAAAAGTTAAATTATGCAGTGCCTCTGAGGAAAACATTTATTTGTGCAAGTGCCCTAATTGTTTTTAGGGGCAATTATGCTAAGTTTATTACATGCATTGATATGATGGAAGCCTGACAGCTGCTTTCAATATTTTGCATCCATCCTTATGCAAATTATTTTAGTTGTGTACTGAGCCCTATTCCTAGTTCCTTGCAATTGTGACTGAAGACAGGAAGGTTAATAAATGGTCTTCTTAAAGGATCCTGTTAGAAATTTTAACTTGAAGCATCATTGTGCGCCTGGTTACTTTAAACTTCTCTTTCAGCTCATTAATAGAGCAGCATGTTAACTTGAGTTGATGTTTGGAGGGAATTCTGTAAACCACAACTTTTCTTTTGCAGCTGACCTAAGCAATGGTGCAGTGAAGAAGGAGGCTTCCACAAAAGAGGTAGCAAGGATATGGATCAATGACATTAAAATGAGAAGTTTTTCACCAACTGTGGTAAGTGGCGCAGATGATTCATTTGCCAAACCAATGTGTTGCTGCCCATAAACAGTTGTGGCCAGTTCCAGGAGTTACTCATACTTGTCTTGTGTGTGGTGGAACTGTCAAGTGCATCTGTTTGTTCAAAAGGTCAGTTGCTCCACAAGATGAAACTTGGTTAGATGAGTGAAGTTAACAGCTGTGCTGAGCTTACATAGTAAATGACAATTTCAAGAAATTACTGTCCTTAGCAGAAGTTGCTGTGGGCCAAGAAGGGTGTGGCCCTGATTAAAGGTGATAAGCACAGCGTTTCCTCTGGGGTAAAACATTTTCTTATAAAATCGCTAGCAGTGAGGAAACTGAAAGACTTCCCCCTAGCATGGCTGTGCTTCTGGGCAGTTAAATTGAAGATTTAAATTGAATATCATTCAATTTTCTAAATGTAATAAAATTACCTTCTGATGCTGTAAACGTTGGAGTTTGGCATCTTCACTGATATCTAGACTCAGGCTGATGTTTGGGAAGAGCTGTGCTCCTCAGTGACTGCCATACGGAAGGGCTTTTTCAGATCACTTCTTTGTATTAAACATCAGTAGTTGTGGAAGATGTTTGTTTTTTCATCTATTGAGTGCTTTACAAATATTTATATGTTTACATTGGCCAGGGTCACAGTAAATGGGCAACTGTCAGGTTTCAGAGAATACTGGACAGAACTGATTATTTAACTCTATAGTTGTGGAATGTTGTCATGGATGTGGAGCTGCAGGGGACTCCAGGGGAGTACTTGAACATGAGGGCTGTCATGTTTTCAAGGCAATTTCCTTTAAGTCATAGTCAGGTTTTAATATGCAGTAAGAAGAATTTCTTTTTAATTCTGCTTATGTGAGTTTGGAGTGCTTGATCTCTTTGCAAAGAAGAGGAAGTTCTCTGACTTAGTGTCTTTAGAGGGTTGTTCAGAGTGTAAGAAATCTACATTTGTGTGTAGTTTCTCAGCTATTCACTGGTTTGTTCCCTACATGTGTTAAAACATTGAAGTGCAAGTTTGTCCTCATTTCCTTTCTCATGTTAATTTCCAGGAAATGAAATATTAACCATGTGCTGTTGGACTAACACAAATATTTCTCAATTCTAGAAAGTGCCAGCAGTAAAAGAAGAGGAGGAACCCGAGGAGGAAGATGAAGAAGAAATGGGCCATGCAGAGACCTATGCTGAATATATGCCAATAAAATGTATGACCTGATCTTCTGTTACATCAAAAGGCTGAATGTTTTGAGAGTTCATTTATTTACTCCTGTGTAATTACTAACACAGAAAATAGATACTGTCTGAAGTTAACAGGACCTGAATGTGTTGTGGGTTTTCCTAGGAAATTTATCCTCTGTAAATGCTAGATTTGGAAGATAAGTGGATTTTTAAAGAGGAGTTCTTCAGTATCATTGAGCAGTATTTGTTTTACAGATGTGACTGATAAACTAAAATCAGGTCTATTTTTTTACCTCTGTTAAGATGCCTTGTGCCTCAGCAGAGGAAATTTTGTGAAGGGATTCAGTGCTCACTGCTACACTTAGGAATCTAGTTTGAGTCTTTTGGTGTGAAATCACCCCAAGTACATTCTTCCTGCATTGTTCCTGCCTGACTACTTAGGACTGGCTGGTTTTTGAGTGAATCTTTTACTGCTGTGAATTGCCATCTCCTCTTTTTTCTCTGTTCTTTGTTGTACCCATTGACAAGAAGCTGTTATCTTGTTTACTAAATTCAGTGACCTGCTGTAAAAGCAAGGCTTTTTGCTGAGAGTTTGTAGCTAAATGGTTAATTTTTATTGTTACTGATGAGATCTGTCAGCAATTAAACCATGTCTGTTCTAAATCTTTTCTCATTCTGCTTAAAATGGCACTATATAAATAGTGAGAAGAATGTTGCTTTTGTGATTCTGGCATCCTGAGGCTGCTTCTGGCCTTTTTGAGAAAACAAGGTTCAGACTGGTTTTTCTCAAACAAGTCAAGTACACAAATACTTTAATTTTCTGTAAAGTGAATTTTATCTAATCACAAAAATTGTGGGAAGGTGGTGAGAAGAGGAAGTTAGGATTGCAGTTATAAATTCAGATTAATGTGTTCCTTCATATGCAGTGCAGTTTAACACTGCAACATTCTCAGTTTACATTGCAACATTCTCATTGTTGAGTTCAGCCTTTGCAATCACAATTGCAAGTTGTTTGGGTAAATATAATAACTTGTGCTGCAGCAACAGAACTCTGTATTTTGTTTTCAACTTCTGCCTTCCTTCCCCTTCTTTCTCCACCAGTAAAAATTGGTTTACGTCACCCTGACCCAGTGGTGGAAACCAGCTCCTTATCCAGTGTGACTCCTCCTGATGTGTGGTACCAGACATCAATATCAGAGGAAACCATTGACAGTGGCTGGTTGTCAGCTTTGCAGCTGGAAGCAATCACTTATGCAGCCCAGGTATGCCAGACATCAGCACAGCTTAAAAGCTAACAGAGAATTTAAGAAGAAAAACTAAAATCTGACAAGTGCAGCTATGTCAGTTTTACAAGGAGATAAAATAATAAGAGCTTAAAGGTTTGAGTTGCATTAGAAGATGGCAGGTGAGCTTCAGCTCAGATAAGTGAGGTAATACACCCAGGAAAATTTCCTCTAAACCACTTCCACGATGGGGATCTTTTAACTGTCTTAGAACATGTTAGTCATTTTTATTTCTCTGAAGTAATTTAATGGCTGCAGCAGCAGCAGGCTGAGAAAGCCAGCCCTGTTTGACATCCTTGGGAAAGGAATAGAGAGCAGCACTGGGTGTTATTTTGCTGCTGGATTAAATTTCAGTGTGCCCACCCCAGATGTGTGTGCAGCACTCTGTGTGCTGGGGAAGCAGGCAGTGGAGTGAGGGGACAACTAAAATGGTCACAGGAGGGAAAAGTTACCTCATGAAAAGAGTCTGAGACACCTGGGGCTGGAGGGCAGAGAAAGGAAAGGGAATGAAATCAGGGTTAAGATCATCAAGAAGTGATTGATACACAAAACCAAAAGCAGAACAGAACTTGGTGACACTGACAGGAGATTAGTTTAAAATTGGTGGATTCAGAATACTGCATTCCACACTGTGGATATCTGGGTCTTGCTGCTACAAAAGGCTGTGCAGGAGCCTATCAGTGAGTTAGGAAAAGGCACAAATTATTGGACAGATGTTTAGAGCAGTTCTGGGTGCTGAGGGAAGAAAGGGGGGAATGGCTCACACAATGCAGTTAGGGGTGCTGTGCTCTCCCTAAATAAAATCCCCTTTTCCTGATTCCAGGAGTCTGCTTGGACCACTGGTCTCCTCCAATAGGATGTTTCTTATGTTTGCTCTTTTCTGTGATGTGTTCTGGAGAATGTCTACAAGTTTTTTGTTCTTTCTCCTACAGCAACATGAAACATTCCTGCCCAATGGAGACAGAGCTGGATTCTTGATAGGTGATGGTGCTGGTGTAGGAAAAGGAAGGACCATAGCTGGAATAATCTATGAAAATTACTTGTTAGGCAGAAAAAGAGCAGTCTGGTAAGTGTGCCAGGATTTGTTAGAGCAGACACTCCAGTGACTCTATGACCTAAATCCAGGGTCATCTGTCTTCTGACAAATGTCCTAGCAGCTGGCTGCCTTTGACCTGCTGTGACTTACAGAATGTGCTTTGTTTTGTATCCTCAGGTTTAGCGTGTCAAATGATCTGAAATACGATGCTGAGAGAGATTTGAGAGATATTGGAGCAAAAAACATATTGGTGCATTCATTAAACAAGGTGTGGAAACTTTTTACTATGTACACTTGGGGCAAACCTTTAGGTACGCTTGAGTGACGAGTTGTGCATGTTGAGTGTTTTAAGAGCAAGAGTGTACTAATTTCAGTAAATTTGCTGTCTAGGTCTTGTTTGACAGGCCTAAATCTTACCAAGAACCACACAGAGCTTTAAGTTAATCATGTAAATAGGCCCCTTGTAGGATTAAGTCTTAGCATGTGTGCTTTTTTTTTAAAAAAAAAAAAAAACGCACTTTAAGTCACTACTGGCACTACTAGTAGAATATTTTCTAGAAGTTGAAATATTCTTTACATCTTTAAAGCTTTGTAGCATTTGAATTTTTTACTCTTTATCTCTCAGTGCACATTTTATATATCATGCTTTTTGTGTGTAATGCTTGAATAATGGACCTGCTCAGTGATTTATTAAAGCAGCAGTGGTGTGTGCAGTTATTTTTGGAGACACTGCCTCTGCTCTGGATTACCTGCTTAAATTGTAAAGTGTGATTACTGATTGAATTCACCGAACTTAAAAGTTTGGTTTAAGTTGATATTTTTGCTTTGTGAATTCTTAATTTCCAAAATAAGGCTTTAGAAATCATCATTTATGGTAGCAGCTGTAAATACACTTGAAGTATTGGCTCTTAAAGGGATACAATTGAGATTTTAGTTTCAATGTATTTAAAGTAAGGAAACCATGTAGCCAAAGAGTATGGCTGCTAAGCTTCTGAAACCTCAGATTTGGTGTTCCTTAAGTCTATGTTTAAGTAAGGCCCTGTATAACCCCTTAACCACATTGCCATCAGCTGTGCCCTGATCATGGTGTGGGGTTATGGGTGCCTCCAAGTGTTCACACCTTTCAGTTTGAGACCACCAGCATCCCTTCATCTGGTAGGTGGGATTGAGGAGGAGTCTCTCTTGATTAATTTCTCTAATTTCTATTTGTTGCAGTTCAAGTATGGGAAGATTTCTTCCAAACATAATGGAAGTGTGAAGAAAGGTGTCATCTTTGCTACCTATTCCTCTCTTATTGGGGAAAGTCAGTCTGGTGGTAAATACAAAACCAGATTAAAGCAGCTCCTTCACTGGTGTGGTGAAGACTTCGATGGAGTTGTATCCTTTTTCTGGAATTCATTTGATTATAATGAAATTGCTATTTAAACTTATATCTTTAAAGGTTTTTAGGTATTCTTTATTTGTAATGGCAATCAGTCATGTGCATGCTCTGACATTACATTTACAGTTTTATAAACTTTGTGCCAAACATATGACCATCAACTTGTTGCCACACAGCTCTGGTACAAGAGTGAAGTTTGGTTTTTTCCTATATCAAACCTATAAAATTAAGCAGTTGTCCTTCAGAACTCTTAAGTTTACACTGAGATTTTATGGATTTGTTTAAATATATATTTGGAGCATCACCAGCATTTTCAAGAACTCCGGTGTGGCAATTTACTATCTAAATATTTTTCCAAGGTTTTTAGTTAAAATGACCAGTGTCTAGAGTTTACAATTTCCACCTGCCCCCTATTGTAAGTAGTAGATTTTCTTGCCTTCTGTTCTAGCTCCTCATTCTGTGCATTAGTAGGATAAAGCTTTTCCTTAATTACAGTTCAGATTGTATTTGACGAGTGTCATAAAGCAAAGAATCTGTGTCCTGTTGGTTCATCAAAACCAACAAAAACAGGTCTGGCTGTATTGGAACTTCAAAATAAACTTCCAAAAGCCAGGGTTGTTTATGCCAGTGCCACAGGTATGTATTGCTGGGTTTGTATTAAATGTTTCAGGGTGGTTTTGCTGGCACTGGTACAGATTTATCTTTCTCTTTTTAGGTGCATCTGAGCCAAGGAACATGGCATATATGAACCGTCTTGGAATATGGGGGGAAGGAACTCCATTTAGGGAATTCAGTGATTTTATTCAGGCCGTTGAAAGAAGGTAAAGTTGCAAAGATCTACAGCAGAATGCAGAGGGTTGTGGCTGACTGTACTCCCAGTTCCTTGTCTTCACTCTGTAGTCCTTTACAAGTGTGTCCTGTCACACTAAGAACTCTGGCTTCTAAATCTAGCAGAAATGTTATTTATCATAAGTGGTGCAAAATAAGATATTTCCTTTGTTCAGAGAAAATTTTGAGAGCTTTAAAAGCTTTCTGGGAAAAGAGGCCTCTCGAAAATGTGGGTGTTAGGAAAGCAAAATACTTTGCTGCTCCCCTTGAAAACACCCTGTATTGTAGTGAGTATGCTCAGTGTAGTTAATGGCTCCCTATTTGTAGAGAGCCTCTAATGTTTATGCATTCATCATAGGCAATTTAACAGGAGGAAATCTTGTGCTTGTTGGCATAAGAACCCAGTTCAGGGAAATTCTTTGTGCTGTTACAAGGTACTTGGTGTTTCAGAACATACTAATAATGCTGAATGTGAGGGGTCAGGAGAAAAGGCCGCTGCCGCATTCTGTGGTGGGTGAGCATCTTGCTTTGCCTACTCAAAAAGAATTTTGAACACTTCAGAATGCCACAATAGGCTTTAGGATACATCTTGTTTACCATCTACATGATGTGTGGTTTTTCTGGACTCTTCATTACTGGGTGCATATCAAATAAGCAATAATGAAGTTAGAGCCCCAAGCCTGTGAGTAGCAGTCAGCTGTTCTGCAGGTGACTTCTGTGCTCTCAAGGTGTTGCTGTTGAAGAGAACTGAAGTTACTTACTAATCAAATAATTTTCATATCAGTATAAATCCAAATAACTTAAAATGGTTTGTATTATTTTAAATCATCAGCAGTTTATAAAGTTACAATGCAAGAATTTGCTGATACTTGGACCAACTTTGTTATCCAGTTCAAATTTATAAGTTACTGTCTCCTAATCCATCCTAGGTCATTAGGGAAAAAAGTAACTGAGTTTTACCTCTTGGGAGACACTTAACATTTACAAGGCAGGGATACAATTTTATATAGAGACTAAATTTCAAATTATTTCAAAAGCATACTCCTTCACATTTATAAGCTGGATTTTTTTCTAATGTACTTGGGGTTGTGTTTGAGGCATTTCTTTAACAATCCTTCCTCTTGAAAATTCTAATGTGGATTTAAATTGTTCCTTTATTTTAGAGGTGTTGGTGCCATGGAAATTGTTGCTATGGATATGAAGCTGAGAGGAATGTACATAGCCAGACAGTTGAGTTTTTCAGGTGTAACTTTCAAAATCGACGAAGTTCTGCTCTCACAGGAATATGTTAAAATGTACAATAAATCTGTGAAACTGGTAAGAATCCTGTTTTAAATTTGCTTTCTCTGTTGATTTCTGGGAGGTTGGAGTTGGTTGAAATTTGAATGTTCCTTTTCTTATCCAGTGGGTCAGTGCTCGAGAGAGGTTTCAGCAGGCGGCCGATCTCATCGATGCCGAGCAGCGCATGAAGAAATCCATGTGGGGTCAGTTCTGGTCAGCTCACCAGAGATTTTTCAAGTACCTTTGCATAGCCTCAAAGGTGAAAAGGGTGGTGCAGCTGGCTCGGGAAGAAATCAAGAATGGCAAAGTAAGTTGATCAAGACTGATTTTTAAACATTTGTCTTAAATTTAAAGCTATTAGATTAAATTTATATATATAAAATACAAATACTTTCAGCCACAGTAGGAGCATGCTTTTGTAGCTCGTGGTATCTAATGAGCAGAAATTCAGGCCAAATAAACTTACAGCTCATTCATAGCGACAGTGTCTGATTTTCATTTCTTCTTCAGTGCGTTGTCATTGGCCTGCAGTCGACAGGAGAAGCCAGAACATTGGAAGCTTTGGAGGAAGGTGGTGGGGAACTGAATGACTTTGTTTCTACAGCAAAGTAAGACTGAGTTTTAAAACTGTTCTTTACAAAACTAACCTTCATCCAGCTTAGTGTGTGTGTGTAGTCATTTGTCCTTCTGTGTGTCAAATGTGCATCAGTGCACAGAAGGTTGGGAATCCTGTAGTAGGGATGTTCTTTACTGAAGCTGCCTGTACCTAAACTCTGGCAGCACTGCTCAGGTGAGGCAGTGATTGTCTCCCGATTCTCCTGGCATTCCAAACTGATGTTTTCAGGTGTGAACAGCTCATACTGTTCTCAAACTGGGAGGATGGGGAGACCTGCCAAGTGTGTGCTGCATTTATACCAGAGCAAGTTACAGACCATGACTTCCCTCGTTGATCAGAGGGACCAGAGCCAATCCCAAGGCTGCCTTGCTGAAGATCTTAATAAATTACCTTAATCTTTTACTTAAATTGAGCAATTAAAAAATGGCAATAGCAATGCCACTTGTTATCAAAAACAAATTTAACAAGTTGTATCAACGCTGTAAAAGATATTTATCCGACTTCTAAGAAGGTGACAAATACAGTAATGTGGGTGATAATACAGAGAGTGCCCAACACAAGGAGTCAGTCTTCAGGGAAGTCAAGCAAGCTGTTCAATGTTACAGGTTTGTACTTTAAATAAATGCAAATTTCACTGAGCAACCCTTTTTTCTTAAACAGAGGAGTATTCCAGTCTCTTATTGAGAAGCACTTTCCAGCTCCTGACAGGAAGAAGCTGTTCAGCTTGTTGGGAATTGACCTGACTGCTCAGAGTAATAACAATTCACCCCGGGACAGCCCTTGCAAGGAGAACAAAGTAAAGAAACGAAAAGGTAAAGCTGGAATTCCTACACTAATGCCACAGTGAAAATGGCAACTTCAGAGCTGCCTAAGCGTGAACTTTGGGGAAAAAAGGGGATATATCTGTACAGTCATCCTTGAAAGAGAATGTAGTGCAGGTCTCTTAGGGCTAGAGGTTGCCATTAATAGATGTTATGTTGCTGATAAGCAATATAACGTGTAAATTTTAGCTAATTTTTCTCAAAATTGGGTTGATCTGCTGTGGAACCATATCCCAAAATGCCTTTTCTGTGTCAGATCATTTCCTGATGTAGTCACTCAAGTAACTTTCTTTATCTTGAGGCTCAATGAAGAGAAGCCTAATACCACTCCCTTCCCAAACTGATTATCTTAAAAACTTGGGAGAGAGGTCTTGTTTAAAGCCTAGATTCTTTTAAAAGGTTCTGTTTTCAAAAGTTGAATATTTTTCTAGTTTGTATGGTAAAACAGACTTCAAAGTGTGTAAACTACAAGGTTTAAACTAATTTCTCTTTCTTGTGGGTGATGGAATTAGGTGAAGAAATAAGCAGAGAAGCCAAAAAAGCCCGCAAAACAGGTGGCCTTGCAGGGAGCAGCTCTGATGAGAGTGAGAGTGAGTCTGATGCTTCAGACAATGAAGAAAGTGACAATGAGAGCTCCAAATTTTTGAGTTCTGGAGACGATGATGACTTCAACCCCTTCAGAGATGAATCCAGTGAAGATGATGAAGATGGTAAGGCAGTCTAAGTGTTTGATCAAGAAAGTAGCTGTATTTGCAGAGAGTAAGCAGAAAGTCTTCCCAAACATTCCAGGGAGCCACAGATGAGTGTTTACTGAGCAGGTAGTTTAGTTCCAGTGATTTGGAATTAGTAGAATGTGAAATTAGATTTTGTACACTGGAATTCAGACTTTTGTAAGTCACTTTATGCAATGAGAATGTATTTGTTTCAAAGGGATGGATGGCTGCTTAGTAAATGTTTGAAACTTTTATTTAACTTCAGATCCCTGGTTGATTAGAAAAGAGCATAAAAAAAATAAAGAAAAGAAAAAGAAGAAAAGCATAGACCCAGATTCTATTCAAAGTGCCTTACTAGCCTCTGGTCTGGGATCCAAACGACCCAGCTGCTTCACTTCCACTGTTGGAACCACCACTTCTAGTACCAACACGTCTGGTAAGAGCAGCTTTCTTTGATGTTGATTCATTTCCTAGCAGTTAGGCAATAAAATTCTAAATCTCAGAGAGTCTTTCTTAACTTTCAGCAAACAGTAACACAAACAGCAGCTTTGTAACGAGTCAGGATGCTGTTGAAAGGGCCCAACAAATGAAAAAAGAACTGCTGGATAAACTGGAAAAGCTGGCTGAGGATCTTCCACCTAATACACTGGATGAGCTTATAGATGAACTGGGTGGTCCTGAAAATGTTGCAGAGGTAGGCTGGTGATCACATATTAAGAAAAAAAAGTATGTTTTTAAAGGGGTTGTTTATCAGTTTTAGACAGTGATCTCAGGAATGAGAGCAGAGGTTAATCTGCTGATGCCTCCCAATAGGAGAGAAATTTGAATATTGTGTTAGGATACAGGGGGAGCTGTGAGTGGGTGAACACATTATTTCTGAGATTTGATAGCTTCTGGTTGGGTAAATCACACCAGCTTCTGTTTTGTTTTACTATGGGCTGTTTCTCTGACAGGCTGTAGTCAATTTGCTGCTGGTGTGTATTAAACAGAGGAGCTTTAGCTCATCCTCCAAGGCAGTGGAGATCAAGAACTGTGTTGATGAAAAGCCTGATTAATTAATCTCTCAAGAACTTCAGAAAAATGTCTTTAAGCTACCTGTTTTTATCAAGTAGCAGCATCAGTGTGATTTAAAAGACCCTGTTAAAATCAGTGGCAGCCTGAGCTGCCTGTTTAGCTCTTTTTAGTGCTGCTGGTAAATCCCTTATGAACAGTGGCATAATAAAACATCATTCCTACCTAGATTTGCTCTGTCATATTCCACATAGCAGATTATGCAGTTTTGCACGCAGAGTAAATTACTGAGCATTTTAATGTGGGTACATGGATGAATGATGCTGCTTGGAGCTGTTGGTGCTGGGTGGTTTTGGCGTTGCCCCTGAGGCTGTGTTCCCTCCCATGAAGATGACGGGCCGCAAAGGCAGAGTGGTGAGCAACGACGACGGCAGCATCTCCTACGAGTCACGGTCTGAGCTGGATGTGCCCGTGGAAATCCTGAACATCACAGAGAAGCAGAGGTTCATGGATGGAGATAAGGTAATCTTTGAGAGAGACACTGAAGACAGATGTGCCAGATGCCATAGTAACTCTAAGCTGTTCACCAGTGAGTGGCAGGTAGTGCAAGTACCAGTTAAGCAGCACTTTGCTGGTTTGTTTTTCAGATCAGTGTTTAAAGGTCAGGCTGTAGTTAGGGTGACCTCTGAGGGCCCATGTGCCAAACTGAAAGCTGGCACCTTCAAACTGGTTTTGTAAAACAATGTGTTTACAAGGCAGATTTGTGATTCATATCTTTGATTTGTTGATCTGGGTCACTGTGCACTTCCCCTTCCAAGAGGAAATAATTAAATTGGGAAGTGGGGAAGACCACATTATGAAAACTTACAGTGAGGGGTCAAGGGAAAGAGTGGGGCCTGTTAACTCTAACAAGGATTGAGAAGACACACTGGAGGAGTGGTGACTTCTGCCCTCAATGTTGCACTCTGAAAGAAAATCCTGACCTAAATAATGGTAGAATTGTATCTGATAAAAGTGGGGGGAGAAAGCCCTTCCCAGTGCTTCACTTGGGCCGTGCTGCCACAAGAGGGCAAATGGAGTAAATGTCACTGCATGGAACTTGTGTGGTCCCTTGTGACACTTGAGGGTAAAAACTCTGGTTCCTGTAAGTGATTTGTGCACAGTCCAAACATTTACATTCTTTCAAGGCAAATGCATTCAGGCACTGGAATGGCTGGATCCTCTTCCCTGTACAGCATTAGCAGCAACATTTTGTCTTTTCTGGTGTTTGCTATTGGAGCAAGCCTGTGTCCCTCCCCTTTTCCTGCAGAGCACAGGCCAGTGTCAGGGAGACCTGCCCTCTGGGATGGCAAGTCTTTGTTTGCACAGAGAGGAGTTGTTGAAAAGTAAAGCAAAACCCCCTCCTTTCACTCTGAAAAGTTCATTAGCATTTCTAACTCTGATACAGAAAGCCACACCTTTGCTGCCCTCCCTCTGCCTTGTGAGTAACAGTGAAGTCACTCCAGACCCATGTTTGGTAATAGTTGTAAAACAATACTTTTTTTTTTTTTTTTTGGAAACTGAAGCTTGATCTTGGATTTATTGCTAACCAAGAGCTCTTTTCTCCATCACAGAACATTGCCATCATCTCAGAGGCTGCCAGCTCTGGTATCTCACTGCAAGCAGACCGCAGGGCCAAGAACCAGAGGCGGAGGGTGCACATGACCCTCGAGCTGCCGTGGAGCGCCGACAGAGCAATCCAGCAGTTTGGTAAAGCACTCACTGTGTCCTGAGCCACAGACTCAGGAATGATAACTGAACTTACTGCTAACCTGGAAAATCAGATGGGGCAGGCATCCTCCTAAGGACCCTTCCAGTCTCTTGTGCCATTAACAGAATCAGCTTTGTCTGTGGTCATGGTCTTGAAAGCTTTGAAAGAAACCTCACAAACAAACCTAGGCTGCAGCTTTGGAGTTTCATTCACATGTGAAGTGTGAATGAAGTTTCCACAATTTTTAGAGTATCTCTGTGCTACTTCTGTTTGCTGTATTACAGCAGAATCTAATTTTTAAGCAGGATTAAGTTCTACATTTTTTCCTTGCTCTTCACAGTTCACATTTTAATAAAAAAAATCTATTTCACTGAATATATCTAATTTACATGCTTCTACTTAATTATCCAGGAAGAACTCATAGATCCAACCAAGTGACTGCTCCAGAGTATGTGTTCCTCATTTCTGAACTGGCAGGAGAGCAAAGATTTGCATCTATAGTTGCAAAAAGACTGGAGAGTTTGGTAAGATGTTTCAAGAGGTCTGATCCTTCCTTTGAGAAAATGCAACTTGGATTTCTTTTTTTTATAAGTTTTGTATTTAATGACAATGATGTGTCTTGACAGGGAGCCCTGACCCACGGGGACAGACGGGCCACAGAAACTCGAGATCTCAGCAGATTCAATTTTGACAACAAGGTGACAATTCTGTTTCTGTTGGGGAACTCATGCTGTGGTGTTTATTCCACAGATGAGCTGTTGAGGAAGGTTCCTCTCCATCCCTTACCTTTAACTCCATCCCTTGCTGATGGAAGGCCTCTTTCTGTAACCCGTGATTGTGTTTGTGAAGCCATGTGGAACACACGTGTGTAAATTGCTTTTCTGCTCTTGCAAACAAGCAGTCTTAAGTAAATGGTGTGTGTCCTTTAAGCCACAATGAAAGATTAATTTGGCAGTTCTAATTAAAAATTAAGACTAGGCTGTTTTCAGTTATAAACTGCACTACATAAAGGTGATAAACAATTCCCTTCACTATTGCACAGAAAAGCTTTTAATTGTGAATTAAAAATACCTGTTCAACCATGTGTGCCTGGAGCTGTGGCACAAACACTGGATGGCATTGACAGAACAACTTTCTTTCTTACACAGTATGGCAGAAATGCTCTGGAGATTGTTATGAAATCCATTGTGAACTTGGACTCCCCAATGGTCTCACCTCCTCCTGATTTTCCTGGAGACTTCTTCAAAGGTAAGGCTGTGACAGCTCCTTTTGATCCTTCTCCAGTACACAGAAAATGGAAATACTGCTAGAGCTGTAAAACATTGTTACAATTTCAAATGATCAGCTGAGACAGATGGGATTAAACGCCCAGTGAGAGTCTGTGCACGTTGCTTGAATGTTGAAGTTCACACTTGAAACCAGATCTGTGAACTCTCAGTGTGAGGAATGTTCTGTATCTGCCTGGCCAGTGTATTATAAACAGATTTTTATCTTGATTTTCCCATTGCCTGTTGGAACTGTTCTCGTGCATGGTGCCATTGGTGCTTTCCCCTGCCTGTGATTCCTGCAGAGACAGAAGGCAAAGCTGTGTCTTGGTTATTGATGTGTTAGGTAGAAACTGCAATCATGGGAAGTGAGGGGTGTCAGAGGCTTTGGAATCAGATCCTATGGCTCAACAAGCTGTTGCTTCACTGGGTTATTTTTAGATGGCAAAGCAGCAATGATTGAACTTCTTTCTCTTTCCTAGATGTTCGTCAAGGATTGATTGGTGTAGGCTTGATAAATGTGGAGGACAGATCTGGAATTCTGACCCTTGATAAAGGTACTTGGGTGTTCAGTGTGTCTGTAGAATGTCCCTGGGAACATCTTGTGTCACAACAGTGGGTTCCCAGCAGCAGAACTGAACTTGTAACCTTCAAAAAAGGTCACTTTTTAGATAAACCTAATGTTTTCTGCATTTCTGAAAGAGTGTATTTAAATGGTGTTTGTAAGGCTTTGAATACTGATTGAGGGCTTATGGTTATCAAAGTTAATCTTTGTCCTAATACATGTATTTCTTACTCTTTTTTAAGATTACAACAATATAGGGAAGTTTCTGAATCGAATTCTCGGCATGGAAGTCCATCAGCAGAATGCTCTGTTCCAGTACTTCTCTGACACATTAAATGCAGTTATTCAAAATGCTAAAAAGAATGGAAGATATGACATGGGCATCTTAGGTGAGTAAATCATTTCACAGTGCTCTTGAACTTCAGTGAGAACAGAGCAACAGAGTAAAACTGCTTTTGTTTTCAGATTTGGGCTCTGGGGATGAGAAGGTGAGGAAGGCAGATGTTAAGAAGTTTTTAACTCCTGGATATTCTACCTCTGGACACGTAGAGCTGTACACAGTAAGTTAATCCTTTATCATCTCTGTAGGAACTAAGAACATTTGCCGGGAGGTTTTTACAATGTGTTCAATCCCCACCTGTGTAACTGTTTGAAAGTTGTTCCCACTCAAATACCCCTGTACTGCTCTCTTGCAGATCAGTGTGGAGAGAGGAATGTCTTGGGATGAAGCAACAAAGATCTGGGCAGAACAAACAGGTCCAGATGATGGGTTTTATTTATCACTGCAGGTGAGATTCCTCTGTTTCTTGGATTATGTTCAGAGGTTTTGGGGGCTAAACTGAAAACCTTACTTGTTCAGGTCTGCAAAATACGTTGGGTCTTATATTAATTTTAATTTTATAACACTGAGTATTAAATTCTTCCTTTTATTTCCTCAGGATATTTCCTGATAGGAATATGAGCCCAAATTAATAGCTCTTATTTAAACCTCCACCAGGAAATTGTGGTTTCACTGTGAGGTTCATGTGGATTACTGTGTTCTAGAGGTGTATTACTGTCCTTGGTTGTACTATTACTCACTTATTACTCTGTAAAAACACAATATGGAATCACTTAAGCAGATAATTTTGTCATGTGTTAATTCAGGAAGTTTTTGGTTTGTCTTTTTTTTTCCAGATAAGAAATAACAAGAAAACAGCAATTCTAGTAAAAGAAGTGAATCCTAAAAAGAAGCTTTTTTTGATATACAGACCAAATACTGGGAAACAACTCAAACTAGAAACATGTGCAGACCTGAAAAAGAAATATAAGAAGGTAACCATTAAAGTTATGCTTGTTTTTTAACTTAACAAAGTTGGAAAATAATTATAAGGCCCTTATATTTTTTTTTGTATTTATGTATAATTTTGACAAGTCAAAAAGTAGGCTTCTTTCTCCAGAGCAGAGCTTTTATTTGGGTCTTTTTAAGCAGGTCTACATGATTTTGGCATTCCTATATCCATTTCTGAATTGCTTTCTGAATATAAATTATCTGTGGTGTGGCAATAAAAAATGAGGTTCCTTAGGGTCTAGCAAGTGTTGAATTGGCAGTAACTTAAGGAAACTCTCATCAGGTGGATTACTGAAAGAGCTTTGAGGTTCTGCTCATCCTTTGGGATGGATAATTTGAAATTATTATCATGTAGGATGCTGTACCTCTGTACACCATCCTGATGCTGGTGCTCCCTCCTTTCTCATGATAACAACCAAATTATTTTTATTCTGTGTAAGTTTTGGTGTGTTTTACTTCATTCCCACTTCGGATGACTCTTGCAGGTACCTTCTGAGGATGCTCTGCCACACTGGCTGGAGCAGTACAACTCCTCTGCAGACACCTGCACCCACGCCTACTGGTCAGTGTTTGTGCTCTAACTTCTGCTATTTCACTTTGGGCTGGTTTAGCACTGCTTCTGTCCCTCCTGTAAAGCTTTGGGTTTCTTGTGTAAGGGAAGATGCCACATGTCCAGTCAAATGACCGAACTTGTGAGAAAACACTGAGCTTTGCACTTGCCCTGAAGTCCCAGTACATGAGATGAGTGTTAATTATAAATTACACTCAGAGTGACTTAGGAGTAGTTTGTGCTTGAAGTGTCTTCATCTGTTCTGTTGTTGTAGTCTGATAGTACAAATGTTATTGGGGGAATGTTTAGAGATGAGATGGATGTCAGAAACAGCTGTTCCTCCTCTGCTGCCTCCTGTGTGGCTGAATTCCTGAGGAGCTGCATAACTGGTAGAAGTTTCAGATTAATATTGGAGCTTCTGAAGTACCCTGATCAGATACCAGTGTTGTGTAATGTACTCCAGCTCTCAGGTGACCTCAGTGATGGTATCTTTGGCCCAAAGCTCTGTCTGTGCATTTTATAGATGGTGCTTAACTAGGCCAACCCTTCCCAAAGCTTTACCATTACCTGTTCTCAAAGTGTCTTTCCCTTAGTGTGTGTGCTCAGCTCTGAATGCACGTTAAACAACCACAAATCTTATTTTTAATGAAATGAGATACTTTAGTTTGCAGAATGGTTCTGAAAGCTTTTCTCTCATCCTGCAGGAGAGGGAACTGCAAGAAGGCAGGCCTGGGGCTGGTGTGTGAGGTGGGGCTGCGCTGCAGAACCTACTACGTGCTGTGTGGCTCCGTGCTGAGCGTGTGGACGAAGGTGGAAGGAGTGCTGGCCTCGGTCAGCGGCACCAACGTCAAAATGCAGATCGTGCGCCTGAGGACAGAGGATGGGCAGAGGATCGTAGGTGGGTGCTGAGCTGCTCCTCTGCTGCTGCTCTGCTGCCCCTTGGAGCAGGGCTGGCCCTCACTGCTCAGTGCCTCTGTGCTGGCAGCCACATTTTGAATAAAGGTGTTTAAAACAGAACAGGCTTGTCTGCTCTGGAGGGGCAGAAGTGCAGCTGTAGAAATCTACAGTACAATATATTGAGGAGGTTAATGAAGTCAGGTTTCTTTTTCACCAGGCTTTGGAGCACTTAATCTCAGTTATTTGGATTTACTGCAGCACAAACATCAGGCACAGCCTGCTCCAGCCAAGCTTCTCTGACATCATGATGGCTCCACTTTTCCCCTCACTTTTGGCAATTAAGAGTAGGCCTTTGAAATAATTGTTTTTGTGGTTTTTGAGCTACTGAAAGTGTGTAGAATGGCTTCAAGATTATTGTCTCTTGACTAAACCTCATAGTGGAGCCCTCAAAACAGGGACATCAGAAACCAAACTCTCCAAGTGTTTTGTTTAATGTGGACTTCCTGTGGATGTGCCAATATCATGGCAGCTCCTCCCCTAGTACCACTTTTCTAGGATGTTGGAAGTGGGTTTTTCCACACTTAAACTTTCATGATGATGTAACTTCTGTGAGACTAGAAAAGCAAAAATAGCTGACTTCTCATGACAGCAGGTAACATGAGAATCAATTTTGTTGTCAGGCAAAATGAGAATTTTTCTCTTGCTTCAGAGCCTAAAGGATGTGAAGGACTGAGGAGCAGGACTCGTGGCTGTGCTGATTAGGCTTGACATCAGAACAGTCATTATTGAATGTTGCATAAATTAAAGGGTGCAATCATCAGCCTGAGCTCTTAGTGAACACAACTGATGGTGTTTTTATGAAACCATTGATGTGTTGCTGTTCTCAGGTTTGATCATTCCTGCAAATTGTGTGTCGCCCCTCGTGAACCTCCTGTCGACGTCCGACCAGTCGCAGCAGCTGGCAGTGCAGCAGCAGCAGATCTGGCAGCAGCACCACCCCCAGAGCATCACCAACCTCAACAATGCGTGAGAGGACAAGCTACAGGTGTTGACTTTGGTGTTTGAGGAAAAGGCTGTAAAAGCATATCACTTGCATAAAAATCAGGGACAGATTCCAAAGAAATATAACTTTTTCAGTTCAGTTGTGTCTCAAATACTTTGGGAATAAAGAGATCTAAAAAGGTTGGTAGAACTGAAAGCCAGCAGTTGTTTATGGTGGTGCATCTGTCTTTCCTTATGCTCTCTGTAGTGCTTCCTGTTTGCTTTTACTTTTGGCCTTTTAAGCTACAAACCACAATTTGTTTGAAAATGCTTGAAAATCCCCAAGCAGGCTTTATTTTTATCTTGTCATACAGTGCTCAGGGTTTAACGCAGTGCATCGATGCCATTGCTGTGGGAGATCTCGAATGCATGTATTGAGTATATATATAGAAAATATATATTGGGTTTTTCTCTTCAATTTGAGTTTATAAAAGCATGAAACCTAGAGGTTGCACATCATGCATTCAGGTTCCTTCCCAGTTTCTGTTTGACAGTGCATGTCTTTGGAAACGGGCATGGACGGCATAAACACACGAGACAGGAATTCAGAGAGAAACACAATCTTAGTTGTACAGCATTGGTTATTGCATTTTTATAGTGTTTATACCCAGGTGTTGCATTTTTTCTGGTTCTCTCCTGGGAGTTATATATTTGAGTCTACAACATGTTCTTTTTGTGATAAACATCTTAAATTAAAATTAGTTCATTTTTAATGTATTAATGGTATTCCTAATGTGTACTGCAAAGATGGCTGGATGCCTGTTTTCCTTAAATTGAAGCATTTCCTTAATCTGAGGTGGTTATGGAAACTTAAGTGCAAATTCACTTCCATCTCGCATACAATCTTATATTTTTTACTTCATTAACATAATTTAATTTGTCACTTTTAAGATGAAACCTTACTTGAGCTGTAAATTAGAGAATGGGAAACACTTGAGGGTTCCGCTGTATGTGCTGTTTCTGTTATGTTTAATATGTTGTAAGACATTGTAGAGTTTATCTGGAGCTGTTTAAAAGAAATTGTAATGTACAAATGTGAATAGTCACTTATCTATAATATGGGTAAGTTTTGTTTTGCCTATAATAGTAGATGTTTATAAGAAAGTGAAGGACAATGTTTGTCATTTCTTGCTTGCACAGGTTGCACTATTGAAAAATTGAGATTGTATAAACCTGTCCAAAAAACTACAAGATAATGATCTTGTAGATGTCAAATAAAAGTTATTGTACTAACAAGAAGTGGAGTCTTGTTTAGGCAATCACCATATTCCAAAAAAACTAACAAGTCTGTACAATTGGAATTGGACAGGACTTGGCATGTTCCTGCTCTAACCAGGCTTCTGTCTTGCAGCCCAAACCTCTCGGCTGAACTCACTAATGAGGCAAGAGCCAAACTCTGTCTAAAGCTCCCTGTGTGCTTTAAGGAAGGCTCAGCTCAGTTCCAGAGCAGGATGGCTGCAGGTGTAGCACCTCTGAAGCACTTGGTGAGCCACTCAAGGGTCAGAAGAAGGGGAGTTCCCTTATGGAATTATCCCTTATTTATTCCATAAATCCCTTATGGAATTATTGCTCCTGAGGCTCTTTAATGCTCCCTGTGCCAGCAGCTCAGTGTGGTCACCAAGGGAAGGAGGGAAGGGAGACCTGGCAGGGAAGGAAGTTTTCCCAATTCCCTCAGCCCCAGCCTGAAGTGGTCAGGAGGGATAAATCCCCTGCTCCTGCTTGGGATAACTGGAACTGCAGATCTGGAATAAATCCCCTGCTCCCCATGTGCTGCTGCACCTCTGTAAATCCCTGGGATGCAGGTGCTTGGTTTTGGGGGATCTTCAGTGCTGGGAGCAGGGGAGGGGAGCTGAGCACTGTCACAGCACTGGCAAACTCCAGAGCACAGGGTGTGGGGGAGGCTGTTCTGTGTTCTGTACCCACCAGGGGATGGATTTGGCACCCACTCCAGGAGCAGGGCTGGGATTTTGAGGAGTGTGTTGACAGATTACTACTGCAGCAGACAGCAAACCAAACTGCCAGTAACGACAGGCTCTGTGTGGCTGCTGCTTAATTGTTACTTGCTGGAGAAACTTCTGCCATCTGAGATGGTGACATAGCATTTTAGGTCTTGATCCTCAGTGAAATAGTTCTGAAAGTGGTATACTCGCAATTAGCGATTTTTTTTTTTTTTTTTAAATAATGATTTAAATACACTTGGTTCCTAAGTGCTCTTTTCAGCCTGGTGTGTTCACTTTGATTGTTGGGATGAGCAAATCTGATATTCCCTGTATTGATGAGCAAACAGCACTATTTGCTTCAACCTTTAAACTTCCCATGGACTTGTCCCCTGGAGGGGAAAAAAAGCTGACAGTACTTCCAAGATCCATAAGAACTGTTCCTGTTCAGAAATCCATTCCTCTACTTGCTCCTGTTTGCCTGCTCCTTGCACCATCACTGCCTTGGCTTTGCCATCCATTCACTAACACAGCTGCAGCCATGGCTCTGGACTGTTGTAACATCTTGAAAGTTAACATCAAAAAAAAAGAAAACAGCTTTCAAGCCACAGCAATATTTTCTCTCTTGAAAATTCCTACTCGGTGCTTGGGGTGTGGATTTTGGCATTTGTTCCCTGCATGAGCTGCTGATAAAGCTTGGGGAGATAGGGAATGTAAATTGCCCTGGATGGGGCAAGAACAGTGACTGGTGTCCCTTTGCAGCACTGCCTGTGAGACAAACATCTTCCTGGGGAGGGAAAAAAGACCAATTATTACATCATAAATTAATTGCCAGGCAAGGGTGGTCTCTGTATTTTCCTGCTTGTGGGGTATTGATCTGCTTTGTACAAAATGAAATACAAAATGCTCTGTACATCTGAAATGGACATAAAGCCTATAAAGGACAGAGGGCTCTGGGAACAGGGGCAGTGCCATGTGTAAAATGGCAGCAACTTCTGACTGTGCATTTTGGAATTGTGCTGCAGAAGGGGAAGGTACATACTTGAGTTGATTTGGGAACTGAAAACCCAAATTTTGGGTTCTCTTTTCTAACTATCCCTTGACAGCAACTCAATTATGACTTGTTAACTAGTTTCATAATTAAGATATGTCTGGCATGGTAAATGCAATTATAACCCCCTCAAAGCCTCCTTGCACTGCAAGTATTCCACTTTTTTCAGTGGCTGTGTGGTTCATTGGGAACACACTCCTCTTGTAAGGACTGAAAGTTCCCCAAAGATGCAAGTTCTCTGTTCCATGTGTAGTATTTTCTTTGTAAATGGAGAAATCTCTGCAACCTGTAAACGCTTGTTCAAGTGAATTATCAAGGGGTTTTGTATTTTTCTTTTGTGTTTGGAATAACTTCACTCGGCTCCCAGTGCAGTCTGTACATAAATAGAGCCTGTTTGTATATAGAGGTGTTAAAGGCTACTGAATTATTGAATGTAAATAACTCTCGTTTTCCTCTGTGGTTTTTTCCTTCATGACCTTCCCAAGATGTATTCCTATTTTCTCAACCTGCCACATGGGCAGCTTGTGTGTACTTTGAAATATATATAGAGCATATATAAACCTTCCAGGGTGTGTATGTACATTGTAGATGTTGTGTTGTCATCTTTTTTTTTACCCAAAACTTCATTGTCTGTCTCCCATGATCCTTTTGATGCCCTCTGGGTTTATTCTACATTTTTAGTGTAAAATGCATTCCCTTGAGAGAAATGGACCCCAATGTCTTTCAGTGATGCATGTTCACTTGGTGGCTGTATCACAGAAACAAATGTTTGAGTTTTCATGCAGATTGTTTCCTTCAGTCTTTCAGAACTTGAGCTTTAATCCTAGAAACATTTCTATTTTTTTCCACTTACTGGTATCCCCAGCTGTGCATTCAGTGAGCTCCAAAAATCAGAGTTCTAGAATGAAGTTCTAACACATCAAAGTCTATTACTGCTTTCATATTAAGTGTGAGCTGTCTTAAAAGTGCTCTAGAATGGCAGTGATTGAGAGCAGAAATATGTGTCTATTGTAGCATTTTCCTGGGAAAACTCTGAGCTTCCTGTCATGTCTAAAATGCAAAATGAGCGTAATGAAACTTTCTTACCTTGGGAAAAAAAAAACAGTGCAGGTTTTTAATTGCCAGGTAAAAATAATCTATTTCCATCGAGGTTGGAGATGAATAAGAAATCCCATTAATTGTCTCTCAGTTATCCCTTGAGCTCCCAGCAGCTGTCCCGTGGGTTGGCCCTTCCCCAGCTGCAGGGCAGGACTGTGGCCCTGCAGTTGTTCCTGAATTCAGTGATTTGCTAAATCTGAGCCAGGGCCAGAAGTGTGCAGCTGCAAACAGCAACAAAATCCTTCTGGCACTTTCTGTGGTCACCGTGAGCTTCAAAGGAGGAGTGCTGAGAGCTCAGGGGGTGCTGGTGGCCGTGCTGGGTTTGTGTGGGGCTGCAGGGGACAGGGCTGGCAGCAGGGACAAAGTGACACCAGTGCAGCCCAAAGTGACACAGCCACAGCCCAGCAAAGTGACACAAGCAGGGCCCATAAAGTGACACAGCCACAGCCTAACAAAGTGACACAAGCACGGCCAGGTGGGACCTGGGCAACCTCGGGGCTGCCCTTCCCTGGGAGCAGCATCAGTCCCAGGGTGGGGAATGAGTTTGAAAAGCAGCAATTCTCTTCTTAAGGAGAAAAACAGGGATGAAAAGGCTGCAAGGTGCTGTTTCTCAGCCCCACTTACAACAGCTGCAGGCAGGTTCCCCTAAAAGCTTCTGCTGAACAGAGTGAGGTGTAAAAACCTGCAGAGAAATTCCTGGGTCTGATGTGCTTTGCTGTTTCTTGGCCCAAAATAATTTTTGAGTGAAAGGGATTTGAGGCACCACTAAGATTCAAGAATAGGAACTGGACATGGTGAAGCTGAGGCCAAAACTCGTGGAAGAAATCTTTTGCCTGCTGTGTCCTGAGCCAATATCCAGGATTCTGTGAACCTGGCACCCTGGGTGTGAAGGATGCTGAGGTGTCTGGGGGGAAGCTCAAAGTGAAGCATTTGGTGCACTTAAAACAGGCAGCTGAACCAAAATACAGAAGTATGTTCAGATTTCAGTGCTGTCCTGCAGTGTCAATACCTGAACCAGTGTGTGTTCCATTTTATTTTGTAAGAGCTGACTTTGGTTGGTGCCTCTGAACTTGGCTGTGCTTAGGGCATCACTACAGTGACAGGGACCTTGTGGAGGAGTAGTTTTCCTACACTTAATTTGTACTGGGAAGGATAAAGAGACATTTCTGCTGCCATTTCTGATGCCATATATATTTATGTCTCTTCTTCCTGTCTTGGAGAAGATAACCAGGAAAATGCCAGCTTCCTTGCAGTCACAGAATCACATTTTTATTTGCCAAGTAATTTGATTTATTTTTCAGTCATTGCCATATTGAGTTTTATTGGAGGTGGGTGTTCACTGCCTCAGCACCTTCCCTGTGCCCCAACCCTGTAGTAACTCACTGGAATCTGCTCTGCACAAAGGATACACTGATTTTTTGGGTAGGGCTTTGCTATTAGTGCTTGTTCAGTCTCCACCTTTAAGGGTCCAAGGTGACAGAATCCCAAAGCCACGTAGGATTTCAGCTGTGTGAGGTGTTTTTATTGCCTGCCCTGATGGGAACCTTTGCCAAGCTGAAAGCCTCCATCCTGCAGCCTGGGGTTGTCCCAAATGTCCCCAGAGCAGCAGGACTTGGAGTGCCTGGCAGTAAAACATCAGCAGTGTTTGAAAAGATTTATACCCCCGAAGATGACAAACAGAAACATGATGGACTCCATACTCAGTTCTTTCTTTTTTGGTAAAAAAATTGTTCAATAAATTAAGCTGGTTGCTACTTCGGGATTTTTTTTCTTTCCCCTTTTAATTTTCTGTTCTGGAACTTGCCTTTCAGCAGCACATCTACACCCATTGAGCACACTCACTGCCACACCATTTTAGGATCCCTCAGACCAGCAGAAGTCATGTTCTAGTGATCCAAACAGCTTTTCTTTCAGTCCACTTGAATCCTGGCACTTAACCTGCTTAATGTCACTGGTAAATCAAACTGGTTTTATTGGTAGTTAAGAGCAGACTCACAACATTCTTGAAGTGCTAATTGTGTTGGGCTTAAAAAAGAGAGGAGGGTTTATAAAAAATATATCAAGATTGGAAAGTATCAACTTCATATTTTATGCATATTTTATGCAAAGTATGAAAATAGTTTTCCTTTATCCAAAGAGTTAGTCTGGGGTAAACAGACTAATCTTAGTTTTGTACATCATTTAACATTGACTTTTATTCTCATTTTCCCCAAATATGGAAAAGTGATGATGCCAAGATCTCAGCAATAAATGAAGATGCCCAAACCTCAGAATTTAATTATTCATTTTCACAAAGCAGTAGACTTTGTTCTGTAAGTAAGGGAGAAATTTCTTAAGAGAGGTTTTGGTTGGCTCCTTTCCAGCATGTAAATAATACACCTTAAAAATGCCAGTGAGGCAGTGCAGGAGCTGA